AACCGCCTGCGGCAGTTTGCGGTGGATAGATCTCGAAAAAATATACGATTTCAAAAAAACATTTATCCAAAACGGACAACGGAGTCAAAAGTTATACCGTGCCGAACTTTTGACACTTTACAAATTTTTTTTTAAAAAAATTAAAGACCGGTTCAGCCGGCGAGGCGGCAGCTGAGGAGGCCGATTCCGGCCTTCCTCGCCGCGGCCAGCGACACGATTTTTGCAACACTGATATATAAAATAGATATTGATTAGAATAGGAATAGTATTACACAATTTTATAATATTACAATAAAATTTTAACCAAGAATTATTGTAGAAATCAATATATTTTATTAGGAAGAGAGATGTTTTAAGAATTGGGCGGGAAGTTAAAATTTCAGGATTTTGTTTTTATATATAGTATAGATTGTATTACACTATTTTATAATATTAGAATTGAATTTTAACGCAGAATTACTGTACGAATGTGAAAGTAGAAATCAATATATTTTATTAGGAAGAGAGATGTTTTTGGAATTGGGCGGGAAGTTAAAATTTCAGGATTTTGTTTTTATATATAGTATAGATTGTATTACACTATTTTATAATATTAGAATTGAATTTTAACGCAGAATTACTGCACGAATGTGAAAGTAGAAATCAATATATTTTATTAGGAAGAGAGATGTTTTTGGAATTGGGCGGGAAGTTAAAATTTCAGGATTTTGTTTTTATATATAGTATAGATTGTATACTTGGACTATGTGGTCTAATGGTATCCGAGTTGGACTTTCATTTGGAAGATTATGAGTTCGAGCCTCAGTGGAGTTATTACTGGTTCTTTGTGTTTTAGTGGGTTGAGAAAGTATATGAACAGATATTACAATGTAATAGAGTTAGTATAGATTGTATTACCTTATTTTATAATATTAGAATAGAATTTTAACGCAAAATTATTGTACGAATGGGAAAGTAGAAATCAATATATTTTATTAGGAAGAGAGATGTTTTTGGAATTGGGCGGAAAGTTAAAATTTCAGGATTTTGTTTTTATATATAGTATAGATTGTATTACACTATTTTATAATATTAGAATTGAATTTTAACGCAAAATTATTGTACGAATGTGAAAGTAGAAATCAATATATTTTATTAGGAAGAGAGATCTTTTAGGAATTGGGCGGGAAGTTAAAATTTCAGGATTTTGTTTTTATATATACTATAGACTATAGACTATAGATTGTATTATACTATTTTATAATATTAGAATAGAATTTTAACTCAGAATTACTGTACGAATGTTAAAGTAGAAATCAATATATTTTATTAGGAAGAGAGATTTTTTAGGAATTGGGCGGGAAGTAAAAATTTAAGGATTTTATTTTTATATATAGTATAGATTGTATTACACTATTTTATAATATTAGAATAGAATTTTAACGTAGAATTACTGTACGAATGTGAAAGTAGAAATCAATATATTTTATTAGGAAGAGAGATTTTTTAGGAATTGGGCGGGAAGTTAAAATTTTAGGATTTGTTTTTATATATACTACAGATTGTATTACACTATTTTATACTATTAGAATCGAATTTTAACGCAGAATTATTGTACGAATGGGAAAGTAGAAATCAATATATTTTATAGGAAGAGAGAGTTTTAGGAATTGGGCGGGAAGTTAAAATTTCAGATTTTATTTTTATATATAGTATAGATTGTATTACACTATTTTATAATATTAGAATAGAATTTTAATGCAGAATTACTGTACGAATGTGAAAGTAGAAATCAATATATTTTATTAGGAAGTGAGATTTTTTAGGAATTGGGCGGGAAGTTAAAATTTTAGGATTTTGTTTTTATATATACTATAGATAAATAAAATATCTATAATATTAATCTAGTACCTGGTCACATATATTGGTGCGTGTGTGTGCCTATATATATACACACACACATATATGATTTACTATTCATAGAAATTTAATTACAATATAATCAATAATTAAAGTAATTATATAATAATTTTAATAAAGTGATTGACAGGATAATAGGGCTGGCACCCGACCCGGATCATAAGTGGGCATCTGACCCGGCGCCATATCTTACCCGGCACCACATGAAAACCCAACGGACAAAACTCCAACGGACAGAATTCCAACAGGTGTCACATTTATTGCCATTGAAGCCACTATTAATGAGAGAGAATTAAAGGCTTAGCTCCACATTTATGTTCCATGTTGTTACCGTTAGCACCCTTGTATAAGTAGATGCTCCCCTCAGCTTGGGAGGACACGTTCAATATACTGTACTGAAACACAAAGCAAATACTATTGTCACTTATTAGTCTCATAACAATATTCCCGGTAACATATTTACCGTCATTGGTGCTTTCATTGAGAGCCTGAGTCCCACACTCAAGCAGGCGACGACACACACAACTCATTCCTCTTTCAACAGCAAGTTTGAAAGAATGGTGTCCCGCAGCTCCTACTGTTCCCGCAACGTAAACAATGGCAATGCCTCAGGTGACCTCCGGGACCAACTCGCCAACAATCGCGGAGGGGACCTCCGAGAACAGCTCAACAACGGGAGGCCCGGGGACCTTCGAGACCAACTCAACAATGGAGGGGCGAACCAAGCCGCGAATCTCCAGGCGACCATTCAGCAAGTAGTGACGGCAGCGCTAAATCAGGTGGCGGTGGGACTGCAAGGCCAAGTGACCCCGCCGCGGCCAGAGGAAATAGGGGTAGAGACCCAAAGAAGTGGACTGGCTAGACGACAACCAGGCCTTTCCCAATCTGCACCAGAACGATTGGGACAGAGGGCGCCCTTGGGGCAAAGATTAGGATCACGAGCCGAGGGGTCCTCTACCAGAGGCCATCGCCAACACGAAAACAGAGAAGCCGAGAGATCACCCACAGAGGAGGTGGGCGAGTCTCGGGAGCCGACCCCATGCCGACGCATTGATGAGTCGGACCTACGTCGACACTTGGAGGAGCAACGCACTGATGAGCGGGTTCCACACCGACACTTGGATGGACGGAACGTCGAGGAACCAGCTCCGCGTCGACACTCAGATGGACGGCACGTCGATGAACTAGCTCCACGCTGACACATGGAGGAGCGGCAGCCGGCCCCGCGCCGGCACCCTGACGAGTCGGCCCTGGTCGAGAGGCTGCAGAGAAGAATTGAGGAGTTAGCAAGAATGGTGGAGGCACGGGAGCAGTCGCCGGAACCCGAGGTACGGATGGCAGCACCATTCTCCCCAAGCATCATGAACGTACCTTTGCCGAGGGACTTTAGGTTACCCGCCATTAAGGAGTACACGGGGGCCATTGAGCCACGTGTCCACATGATGAGGTACAAGGCTGCTATGGTAATGATCGGGGCAGGGGACGCCATTATGTGCCGAGCGTTCTTGTCCACCCTGGATGGAGCGGCCCAAGACTGGTTCAACACCATCCCGGATGGGTCGATCCAAAACTTTGAGGAGTTGTCCAAGAGCTTCCTGACATACTTCTCCGGTAGCATACAACGTAAGAAACCCTTCTCTCACCTCTGTGTAGTGAAGCAAGATAGAGGCGAGAGCCTCAAAGACTTCCTGATCAAATGGAAAAAGGAAGTCAATAATGTCTACGACTTCGACTCCAAGCCGGCGATCCTTATATTTATCCATGACTTAAGATTAGGGTATTTTCATAAGCAGCTGAACGCCCATCACCCCCGCTCTTACGAAGATCTGATGAGGACGGCTAGCCGCTATGCCGAAGCAGAGGACGTCGACAGGAAGAAGAAGGATGAAGAGGATCGTAGGAAAGGTGGGAAGCCTGGGAAAGCTGGTCCGCCCAGCCAGGCACCATTCCCGAACCACCCGACTGTAGGGAAAGACCGAGACCACGAACGACCTTGCTTGGTCCCCTTGCGTAATTTAACTCCTCTTACCCATCCCATTAGTGTCATTCTAAAGCAAGCTGAGGAGATGAGAATGGTAGAATTCCCCGAGGAGTGCATGAAGGTCTCCCCAAAGGCAAACCAAACAAAGTATTGCAGGTTTCATAGGCAAGCTGGCCACGATACGGATGAGTGTTACGTTTTGAAGAGACAAATAGAAGAACTCATCCAGCAGGGCTACTTCCGACATTTCGTCAAGAGATCCAAGAAGCAACAACAGCCGCAACACAATCCACCAAAAAATGTCTGGATGAATGAGGATGGCACCAAGCCGTCCACCTCGAACGCCAAAAAAAGAGAACACGACCAAATATCTTAGCAGAATGACAGCGAGAAAGAAACCGAGGTGGTGCCCAGACGACAAAAGAAGCACACCATACACTTTATCTATGGTGGACTCGCAGGGGGCGACACGCCCGCGGAAAGAAAGAAGTGGAGCCGATAACTATACGTGGGACAAGTGGTGAGTCTTCCCAGAGAAAAGAAACAGAGATAGGAGGCCATCACCTTCTCTGATAATGACCTCCCAGAGGGCCCGTTACCCCATCGTAACGCCTTGGTGATTAAGATGGACGTCAACGATGTCATGGTCCGCCGCATCTTAGTCGACACGGGAAACTCAATCAATGTGATGTATTACGATGCCTTCACCAAGTTAAGGATACCTAGGATAAGGTTGCAGTAGGCGCTAGGCGCTAGTCGGGCGGCCGGGCAGCGCCTAGCGCCTAGGCGGGCTAGGCGGGGCCTAGGCGGAATCTAGGCGGCGCTAGGCGGGCTCTTAAAAAAAATTAAAAAATAGTAGTAGACTTGCAGTTTGACAAATTTAATGAAGCTGTTTTCAACATTCAATCAAATAGCACGTCCAAATAATAAAACTATCAATCTATCATACATTCCTTCAAACAACTAAACAAGTCAAACACTCAATTACTCAAACAACAATACCACATTTAATCATCCAACTAATAGAACAACATCCAAGTATCATTGTTTAAACTTACAAGTTACAAACTTACAACATAATTAACATTCAACAAAAATTCAACATTCAAGTTACAAACTTACAACATAATTAACATTTAAAGTTTTGAAATCCAAAGTGATTGATGAATCATGATTGAATAGGATCATTGCCAATTTCTTCATCTTGTCCATATTGCTCAATAACACGTTGCCCATCATCTTCAAACTCCACTTCATTTATTTCCTCCTCACTTTCCTCTTCCGATTCAAAGTTATCTTCATCAAGATCCCTCAATCTAGCACTTCTACGGGGTTGTAATGCTTCATCCACTTCCATAGCATTATTGTTGCAATCCATTCCCGGCTCATTCTCATCATTCTCAACATTTTCCACAATCCAATCTTGTGCTAAACTTGCATCACTACCAACCAACTTTTCAATATTTTTATCTTGCTTGTTCTTGTTCATCAAAGTAGCATTAAATTGGACAAAAACTAAATTGTTGAGACGATTTGATTCAAGCCTATTTCTCTTCTTTGTATGTATCTACAATTCAAGTAATAAAAATATTCAAAAGTTGAAATAATGAATTAATGATTAACAAAGTATTAAGTATCATAATTCATATTTATATTTTATATTAACAATTTAACATGGCAAGTTGATAACAAACTAAATAGAATATCATATTAAGTTACTAACCCCTTCAAACGTGCTCCAATTTCTTTCACACCCCGAAGAACTAGATGTTAAAGAAAGAATCTTTATGGCTATTCTTCTCAATAAAGGGGCTGAGATACCAAAAGTTGACCACCAATTTGCTACAAAACAAAGTTTATAATAATTAATAAATAATTAAATATAAATAAATAAATATAGTTAAGTAAACAATAAAGTATTAAAGAATAAAGAATGACTTACCGGGATTAAAGTTGTCATCATTCACCCCACATGATTTGATTGCGATATTTCTTCCAAACATCCCCTCCTTCTTCTTATATTTTGGCAATTCTTCACTTAAAATCTTATTTTGCATGTCAAAATCATTGACGAATAGAATATCACAAAAATCAACAACTCCAACACCTACAACTTCATCCAAATGAAGTTGTGGATCCTTATAATGGTAATAAGGATTCAACAAATATGTCATCAAATGAAGAGGAGAGTCAAGCCTATCTTTCATTTTTTCTTCAATAATGTCAATAATCGATTTATAGTTCCTTGGGACATCGGACAAAGCATGTTTGATTTCCTCTTTAGCTCTCATAAGCTCACCATATACAAACCCCATTGATGGCTTGCTATCACAATCAACAAGTCGAAGTACTCTCACCAATGGTGCAAAAACCTTCAAACATGCCGTTACACCTTGCCAAAATCCCAAACTTGTTACGGTTGTGTGTGCTACCTTCCCTTTAGCTATCTTGGAAAATTTACATGCCTCCCATTCATTGCTAGAAAACATTGCCCTTAATTCAATCTTCTTCTCGGCTAAACTTTGCAAAGTAAGGAATGAAGATGCAAATCTAGTCACACCGGGCCTCACTATATCTCTCTTCTTTGTGAAAGTTCTCATCATTGCCAAAGTCGTGTGATGAGCATAAATAAAGATCGTTAATGCCTTTGCTTGATCAAGGACTTTCTTGTACCTCGGGAGATTTCCAATGCTTTGAAGCATTAGATTTATCGTGTGAGTGGCACAAGAAGTCCAAAAGATGGTTGGCCTCTTCTCTTTCAACAACTTTGAAGCTCCCATGTTGTTTGAGGCATTATCCGTGACAACTTGAACAACATTTTCAACTCCAACTTGTTCAATTCCATGCTCAACAAACTCATAAATATATTGACTTGTGTGTGAATCAAGTGAACATTCTTTGGAAGAAAGGAAAACGGTGCCCAAATTTGAATTCACACACAAATTCATTACACTTCTTCTCTTTCTATCGGTCCAAGCATCCGTCATGATTGAGCACCCATTTAGCTTCCACTCCTCTTCATGTATCTTCAAATACTCACGAACTTTATCAACTTCTTTTTTCAAGAATGTTTCACTCATCTCATATCTACTTGGAGATTCAACTCCGGGACCGAATTGTCCAATTGCTTCTAACATCATCTTAAAACTATCTCTTTCAAATGCATGAAAAGGAATAGCGGCCTCATATGCCCATCTACATATATATTCTTTCACTTTAGTTGTCCTTTCCTTCCAAAGTGCACCATCAATACGTTGTTGTTGCAATGTCTTTCCTAAATTCATAGAAGGTTCGGGATTGATGCCACTTGCAAACTTATCCATTGGGCCAAGTGAACGTGGTGGCTTCATAGATCAAAGAGACCCTTGCAACTCCTCAACATCAATTGACTCACTTCTACCATCAATATTCACCTCGGCTCTTAAATTATCTTCACTAACTTTTTTACTTTTCCTTCTCATCTTAGCTTCATTGATTGCATTCCTACACTTAAGTTGATCATCCTTAGTAGCTTTAGAACATGGAGCAACATTTCCTTGTATATGAGCAATATGCTCTTTTATTCTATACACTCCACCGGATAAAACTTTCCCACACAACAAGCATTTTACTTTATCCAAATTTTTTGCATCAACTAAAATACCATAATCCCATCCTACATCATTTGATCTCCTTTTAAGTGTGGATGCATCCGAAGTTCCAACACTTTGAGTAGTCGAAGCACTTGATGAAGTCATTATCACAATATCACTAAAAAACATACACATTACACAATAAATGTATAATTCAAATATTCAATTAATCAATTCACAATTTCACATTTACAATTAACAATTAAAGACAAATATGAAAATCACAAAATATGGATAATTGGATAGTAGGCAGTAGCAGACAACAGAAAATATGAAATTATGGATAATTGGATACTAGCAGTAAGCAATAGCAGACGACAGAATTGAGAGTTCCAATAATAAATAACAAATAAATCAGCAATTCATCCATCATCATTAAGTTTTTTGTTTAAATATTTAATATTCAATAATTCCAATAAATAATTAAATATGAATTCATCATTACGTGATTATGAACATTAAGTTTTTATGTTTCAAAATAAAAATTAAAAATAAACTTACAGTAGGCATTAGCCGCAATACTAGACGGCAGTAGCAGATTAACAGATGAGATGAACTTGGAGCTTCAGTTCGGCACGACGGCACCTCAGCAACGCCAGTCGACGGAGCTTCAGTTCGGCACCTCAGCAGATGCCAGTCGACGGAGCTTCAGCACGCCGGAGCCCGGAGCATGCGCACAGACGGACAGACCTCCAGTTGGACTCGCACAATCGCACTTCGATCAGTTGGAGACTTGGAGTCGCTCGACATTTGACTTAGGTAGCTAGGGTTTACCGGTTTAGTAATTAGTTTATGCACATTTAAAAAATTGATTTTTTTTTAAAGTGGGTTTTTCGCTCAAAACGGCGTCGTTTTGAGCGAAAAACCCAAAAAAAAAATTAAAAAATAGATTTAGTCGGTCAAAATCGACCGAGTCGGTCGAGTTGACCGACTCGGCCGATTTTGACCGACTTGGCCGACTAAGACCGCCTAAGGCCGACTTTGACCGCCTAAGGCCGACTTTGACCGCCTAAGGCGGCCGGCCGATTATTCACCGCCTAATAGTGAAAAAGGCTCGGCCTAGGGGCGCCTAGCGCCTAGCGGGCGCCTAGGCGCCGCCTAGGCCGAGTTTTGCAACACTGCCTAGGAACCAGCTCAAAGAAGTACGTACGCCCTCTCTGAATTTACGGGTGATTCAGTGGAGACGGAGGGGTCAGTGGTCTTACCAGTGGAGATAGGCACGAGCCCTAACATTCACAAACTTGACGTGGAATTCATCGTGGTAAGACTCACTTGTGCGCACAACATCATATTGGGGAGGCCGGCACTGGAGGACCTCAAGGCCATAGTGTCGGTGGAACACTGGTGTATGAAGTTCCCTACTCCGAATGGGATAGGAGTCATCAGAGGAAACCAGCGAGCAGCCCACAGTTGTTACGTAAAAGCATGTAAAAAGATTGGCAGAAAGGATCTACAAGTCCACACCATCTACAAAGATGATCGATCGGGTATGGAGCTCAGAACATTTTTATTATCGGTAATACTTTGTAGTCGCGGTCCGCCCAGACCTGTAAACAGTATTTAGTAATCATGGTCCGCCCAGGTTACTTCGCTCAAAGTTATTTTCTCAAAGTCACAATATTTTGTAATCATGGTCTGCCCAGGTTACTTTGCTCAAATAAAAGGTTCTCAATACCACCTTCAATCAACCACGGTCGTCACTACACTCTACAGGAGATTTAAAAAAAAAAAAAAAAAAAAAAAAAAAAACGGGCCGAGGTCATTGGCCGAGGCGGCGCCTCAGCCCAAAGTCTGGCCGAGGCGCACGCCTCGGCCAATGGGTGAGGCACGGTGCCTCGACCAGCGGCTGAGGCGGAGCCTCAACCAAAAGTCGACCGACGCCGCATTGTAAAAAATAAAATAAAAAGATGGGTCGAGGCCACGCTCCTCGGCCAATGGCAAGTCTGGCCGAGGCATGCAATGGCTGAAGCACGGTGCCTCGCCCGGGCTGAGGCGGCGCTCCAGCCCGAAGCCTGCACACGCCGCAAAAAAAAAAAAAAAAAAAAAAAAAAAAAAAAAAAAAAAAACAAGGGTCGAGGCGCACGCCTCGGCCCGATGGCTGAGCAGGCTGAGGCGCACGCCTTGGCTGTGGCCGAAGCGCGGTGCCTCGGCCATAAAAAAAACATGTATATATATACATATATATTAATAAAAAAAATGGTAACGATAAAGCGCAGAAACTGACAGAGGGTGACAAGAGCTGATAGAGAGGTGCTCAAACTACTCAGGCAGGAAAGGATTTGGAAAGCACAAATCATGAGGGATTTGGAAAACAAAATCACATATCCTAAATCACTCAGGATTCTGCGCAGTATCAAGATAGATTCAGCTTTACTCCCAAGTCAACTCAAACACATCCGTAGACTTAGGAGTAGGGGGGACTGGTGACAGAATAATAGGGCTGACACCCGACCCGGATCATAAGTGGGCATCTGACCCGGTGCCATATTTGACCCGACACCACATGGAAACCCAACGGACAAAACTCCAGCGGACAGAATTCCAACAGGTGTCACCTTTATTGCCATTGAAGCCACCATTGATGAGAGAGAATTAAAGGCTTAGCTCCCCATTTATGTTCCATGTTGTTACCGTTAGCACCCTTGTATAAGTAGATGGTCCCCTCAGTTTGGGAGGACACGTTCAATATATTGTATTGAAACACAAAGCAAATACTATTGTCACTTATTAGTCTCATAACAATATTCCCGGTAACATATTTACCGTCAGTGATAATTAAAGAATAGAAAAAAGATATTATAGAATTATATATAGGTGTATGATAATAATGATAGAATTATGAAAGTTTTAGAATTAAATAGTAACGATATTATAACAGTATAAGGGTATTTTAGTCTAACAAGAATGTAGTAGGGACAATTTTGTCCATTACAATTGAAGTGTACAATATTTAATAAAAAATGTATACATTTATTAACATACAAATGTAAGCATTGACACAAATATGTCTATAGCTTAATGGGTAAAACTCTTGATTTCTAACTTAATTGTCAAGGGTTCATTTATTGTATATAAAAAAGAAAACGATAGGTTCTTTGGTTTGGTTCGGATTTTACCCGAATCGAACCGATCGAGTTACCTAAACTGAGTATCGATCGGTGGTTTGAATTTTACCCAAATCGAACTGAACCGATCGAATTACCTAAACTGAGTACCGATCAGTACTTTGGTTTAGGATCGAACCGAAGTGCCCAGGCCTAATTGCAGGCTATGTGTTGTCACCATCCAAGTCAATTCATCCTTTATTAAATCCCATTCTCATTAAATGGGTCTTCATTCGCAATTTACACAGCAACACTAGTGGTACGACGAAGGACTCGGTGGCATCGACAATTAAGAAACAAGACTCCAATGGCAAACTTCAATCTGTCTCCAGGAGCAGAACCTCTGCGACGGCTATCCAACGGCGACTTCTGCGACGAACTCCAGCGAAGGCAGTAGCACAACAGCTCAGGTGATCTCTGGCGACTTCGATGAAGAATAAATTTCGGCGTTGAGTAGCGAATATCTCCCGCATCAGAATTCCATCGACGACAGTTCAAAGGCAGTTGTCTCATTCCCGTATACACCGTAAGAACACATACACTGCACATAGAAACCCACGCTCTGACTGGTACCGCCGTACCGCGCTCCGGTGGTTATTCTATGAGACGGGTAATCGTCCTTTGGTTTTGCTGCCCTATATTGCTTGTAGTTGTCTCCTTCGCATATACACCGTAAGAACACATACACTACACATAGAAACCCACGCTCTAGCAGTACCATCGATACCGCGCTCTGGTGGTTATTCTACGAGACGGGTAATCGTCTTTTGATTTTGCTGCCCTGGATTGCTTCTCGATACCTTATTGTTTCTTGCGTTCTTTTCCTATTCTTGCAATAGAATGTATCTGGAAGAAGATAGAAGATAGAAGATAACAATTAGGGGTAAATAATTTACTTGATAGAAAAAGAAACTCCCAGAAGCTCTACTTCCGAACTTGATAGAAAAAGCAGACTCCGAATGATCCTCTGTTTCGTTGATTGGTGTGGGTTTGGAGTGTTGAAGGTCCTATTTATAAGCACACAATGGGATATTGTTTTAGTTGGAATTGAGCTGAAATTATGCATCCTAGTATGGTTGGGAATATACTTTTGCGGTCGTAGGGTAAGGTATGTTGTTGGAAACAAGCTTCCTACTAGAGTTAAGATTTATCACAATCATTATTGCATGGGCCATGGTCCACACAATTGTGTGGACCATAAATAAAAAGTACATTTGTAATATATTAAGGGTACGTTATTTATGTACGTAAGGTACATTTTTTGAAAGTACATTTTTAATATACTGAGAGTATATTATTTTATATAATTTACTTTCAGTACATAAATAATGTACGTTCAGTATAAAAATAATGTATCTTTAATATATTAAAAATGTACATGATACTCATGGTCCATACAATAATTTGCTGATTTCTCATTGTATGTTCAAGGACTCTGACCATACTCACGGCCTGGAAGATCACATGGATTTGGGCTTATAGATTAGGTTCATAAATTTAAAATGCATTTTAATCTTTTGTGATTAAAACACAAATTATGCAGTGGATTCGTGTCCACAATGCATTGTGGACACGAGTCCAAAACGATGTCGTTTTCAGGGAAAACGTGTTAGTTTAAAAAAAAATTAATTTTGCCTCGATGTTAACGCCGTTAACGGTGTTATTCGTTTGTGCCATTATGAATGTATAGTTATGGAATTATGAATGTATAGTTATGGAATTATGAATTTAAGTTATAAAATTATGAACACAGAGCTCTGACATTATGAACTTACAATTATGAATATATAGTGATAAAATTATGAACATAGAGCTCTAAAATTGTGAACGGAATTATGAATGTACAGTTACGGAATTATGAATGTACAGTTATGGAATTATGAATGTACAGTTATGCAATTATGAATGTACAGTTATGCAATTATGAACACAGAGCTCTGACATTATGAACTTACAATATGAACATATAGTGATAAAATTATGAACATAGAGCTCTAAAATTGTGAACATAGAGCTTCGAAAATTATGAATACAGTTATTGAATTATGAATGTACAGTTACGGAATTATGAATGTATAGTTATGGAAGTATGAATGTACAGTTATGGAATTATGAACATAGAGCTCTGACATTATGAACTTACAGTTATGAACATATACTCTTATAACAAAGCGGTATGAAATTTAAAAAAAGAAGAAGAAGAAGAAGAAGAAGAAGAAGAAGAAGAAGAAGAAGATAACAGTGCCGTTAGGCACTATTACCCGTGTACAGCATGCATGCTGGATGCTGGACACGGGTCCATAACATAACGATGGTGATTAAAATGGCTTAGGTTCATGGAATATCCAGCACATAATTGGGCTCATTTTGTGACAATTTAATCTTTTGATTTGGGTTCGCGAAATATCTGGACATACATTTGGGCCCATAAAGTTTAGATACACTACGATGAATTTAAAGGACTGTTTGTTAAGTTTCAAGATTTTCTCGCTCCAAACGCATCAAGCAACTTGTTTCGGCAAGTCTCAAGGGAGCAATTTATAGACACAATTCCACAACATAATTTGCCTAGAGATGTCAAAATGGATTAGACCCGTCTAATTAGATAGAATGAATTACGTTTTCTAGGATTAATTTAGAGGCCATCAAAATGCGAGCTTTTGGCGAGATGGGATTGGCAATCGTTATGCTGTGCATCCGTATGCACCAAGCATGGTGCATACGAATGCAAAAACGACGTCGTTTTGACGTCTAACTTAAAAAAAAAATCAGAATTGCATAACTACACATCCATAATTTCATCACATCCATAATTTCATAACTATACATCCAGAATTACATAATTACACATCCATAATTTCATAACTATAAATCCAAAATTGCATAACTACACATCCATAACTTCATAACTATACATCCAGAATTGAATAACTACACATCCATAATTTCATAACTATAAATCCAGAATTGCATAACTACACCTCCATAACGTCATAACCCAGAATTGCATAACTATACATCCAGAATTACATAACTATACATCTAGAATTTCATAACTAAAAATCCTTAATGAATGAACTAAAAAAATGAATAACATAATGTTGTTGCTGGGAATCGAAATTGATTTTTTTTTTTTTAAGTAGGACGCGCGTTTTGCATCGAAACGACGTCGTTTTTGCATCCGTATGTACCATGCATGGTGCATACGGATGCACATCATAATTTGCCTCGGACTGGTATATCGGCTGACATAGAATTTATTTATTAAAAGAGTAAATACCCAAAATGGTCCTTCGACTATAGCTAAATTTACAAATTGGTCCTCGACTTTCAATTTTAACCAATAAAGTCCTTAACTTTGCAATTTTAACACGATTTAGTCCTCCGTCTATTTGACCGTCTGTTGACTGTGATTTTTAAGGATATATATGTAATTTCATGGTCCATCATTGGGTTTTTAAGGTTCCGGTTGCATCTCCAGCAGATTTTTCTGCTCGTAAACGCAGCGGTAGGCTTTATCGTCGACGCCCTTGTGCATGCGGACCACTTGCATGAGGGCGGCTGGGCAGTGGAGTGTGTCATGGCAGTAGATGAGGGCGGTTGGGCAGTGGCTTGTGGCTGGGCGATAGACTGTGTCACGGCAGCGGATGAGGACGGGCGGCGATAAAATTACATATATATCCTCAGAGATCACGGTCAACAAATAGTCAAATAGACGGAGGACCAAATCGTGTTAAAATTGTAAAGTTAAGAACTTAATTGGTTAAAATTAAAAGTTGAGGACCAATTTGTGAATTTAGCTATAGTTAAGGGACCATTTTGGGTATTTACTCTTATTAAAAAAGCCATAATTTTTTTTTTTTGGGAATAAAAAAGCCATAATTTTTAAACCTTAAATTCTAATTTCTTAAAGAACCTAATTTGTAATACCTAAAATTCTAAACCTAATTCTTAAACCCGTAACAGAGTCGCAGACTGCAATAGAACCTCACCATGTATGCCATCCACCATTCTAATTTCTGAAATCTCAGCCTCCGTCTGCCTACGCTACTCGAACTCGGTGACCCTCTCTGTTTCACTCGGAGACGGCGACGGCGACAGTAGTTTCTCCGGTCTCCCTTATCGGCCAGTCGGCGTCTCCGGTCTCCCTTCTCCTCATTTTTGTTTGGGTATTTGAATAATTGAATTCTTGGTTAAAAAATTGATTCTTGAAGACTGACTTCAAATTCAGGGTATTTTTTTTTCCCTTAAAGAATTTCAAGGATATTGCTTTGCCATTGCTTAATTGCTTTTTCAATTGCCAGCAAGATCTGATAGAATTTTGTTATGATACTAGAATATCGACATAGCTTCTTTTTTTGGTTTTTCTTCCCCCTTGTCTGATAATCACGTGTCATTATCTATGCAGATTAACCATTGTTTGATGATAAATTTGGTTGGTTTTGCCTCAAATATGGACTTGAAAATCTACTTTTATTTTATAATGTATAAAAATATGTTTTGTGATTAATTTATATGACATATATTTCCTAATTCAGTTATGGAGAAATATTTTAAAATAATACCACTTTTGAGGATTCATCTATCCAAGGTAGTCAGAATATGAGAGAGCATAGAGAAGTACCATGTTTTACATTTTGACATGATCGTTTTTAATTGGCTAATTGCTTGAACTTTGCCCCTACTCATCTTTATCCTAGCTCTGCCCATGTATGTATACACACACAAGCACACACATACATTAATGCTTTTGAAAAAAAAGAAGGTTGATTAAGGCTACTGTTCCCTTTTTTTACAGAATAGTTGAGGAAAATGGAGGAGCATTATATAGAAGACTGCAAAGCTTTGTTATCTCAAACGAAGCAGCGAGAGAAGGATCTTAGGCTCAAAAGAAGGTTAGTGGTATATTTATAGCTGCAATTTCATTATTATTTGTGTGATGACAATCTTAAAAGATTTTTATCCTTATTTTTCAGGTGGTTGATGGGTGTAAATTTATCACGATGGGAGCAGGATTGCATGGAGTCTCTTAAGCCACCCAATGACAAGTATGTGAGATTCTTATATTATTTGTCTTTGTTATCTTTCTTGTTTTTTGCTTTTGCATTTCATTCTTAAATCATGAAGTTCTCTCTATGCTCTCTAATTCAATGCCTGCAACTTTTTCCATTGGTTTTGTTTTTATTTTGAATTGACACCCTTCTTTTACGGACATTTTTCTCCATTAATGCTTTAACCCTTAATCAAGAAGGTTTTGGTGCTTGGCTTTTATATATTGATTAAATGGCTGGTACAATTTATCGAAAGAAGAATAAAAGAACAATAGTGCTAAACCAGTATTCTCTACATGGTTCTTTATATCAATATCATCCCTTGCTCAGGAGGGATGTATTTTGTTGATCTTTTTGTGGTCCAGTAGTGCTTTATTCTTTCTCTATGCTTCATATTCTGCTAATCATATACATCTGTATAAATTATACATGCTACAAGTTGATTTGGTTTAAAAAATTTTATAGTTGGTTTTATTTAAAGCTCAATTGAGTATATCTGCTTGTAATTATAACTCAACCACTGGTGTTTTATTTCTTACATGTAGGTTTGTGCCTGAATCAATGCTTAGAGAAGATGATGTAAGTGCTTTTGATTTTGTAATTATCATTGTCCAAGTTGGAATATTTTTATAAAATTAACGCATCTATATCTAACTGCGAGTTATATTTTCTAAAAATTGAATACTATTTCAATTACTCCCCTTTACAAATCCTGCCATCTGATATTTCCTGTATTTGGTTACAGTTAAGTTATGAGAACATCAGAACATTTGTTGGAAAGACACTTGGAGTACATAATGCTGAAAGAAACCGTCATGTGACTGAAGATGATGAAATACAACTCTTTGATTCACCTAAGAATTTGAAGTATATAATCTCCTTACTTGATGAAATGACCAATAAGGGGCTATTCTGTTTTGCTGAGATTGTGACGAATGGTTCTGTTAACTTCCTCAAAACAAAAAAGAAGATGAGAAAGATAATCAAAGAATTTCTTCCAAAACTACTCGAATGCCGTGATGACCATTGCCAAATGAAATTGAAGCAACTGGCTCGACTCCTTGTGGATCCTCAAAATTTTTGCAAGAATGAAATGGCTCTTTCAAATCCATCTCAATCCTTCCGTGCAGCTTGTATTGATGTTCTTGCTAGGCTTGATGAACTTCCATTCATAGCACTTAGTGCAATGTACCGAAATCTCAGAGGGGTCAAGGGATACACTCCTAAGTTGCAAGGCAGAAGGTCTGGTTGGAGTCTTGAGAGATTAGCGAAACAAATAAGGAGAAACTCAATGGAAATGCTGCAAGAATTTTGTGATGGAGATGAGCCACCAGAACCCTTGGCAAAAGCTTTGGCAGTTGCACACTTGATGCTAAAACCAAAACCAAGAACACTGTTACCAAATGTTTCTCCAGATATAGAGGTGCTACAGAGTGATATTGTGAAGGCTATTGAATTAGTCAAGGATAAAAGGAAAATAAGTTACTTAGAGCTGAAGAAGTTGCAGATTATGCTGGATCCAGGTACTGAACCATCAGAACAAAATTGTCGTGTGCGTGTGACAATGAAGAATTTGTTGACTGAATATCTTTTGGAGTGCATCAATATGGACACTATACCAAAGAGTTTGCTAGAAACTGTTAGAATTATCAACAGGACATCTCAGGGGTCAGCCCCAAAAACCTTCTCAACTGAGGAAATACAGGAAGAAGTAAATTGTTTACTACATTTGAGTGCTCAGGCAAAGCAGATAGTCTGGGACTCTCTTCCAGAAAATGAATTTGACAAAGATTTTGCTGATGCATACATGGAGGATGTTGAAGAATGTGATGAATCTGGTTATAACAGTCATGATAGCAGTCATGCTAAAAATTGCAGTTTTAATCCTGCTGATCTTGACTGTCAATCAGAAAGTGTTGGTGAGATCAGCCCAGTTGATTCTAAATCACCAGTCTCTTCAAGTCGAGCTGAAAACTTGACTCCACTTTTTTCACCAAATAAAAAGTTAAGTATCAAACTTGAATCAATGAACATTACTGAAAAAAACTCACTAGGGTCTCGTGCAGTTCTTCATTCTTCAAAAAATTTTGACGACACTAGCAGTATAGATGAAAATTGGGATCAAGCAGGAAGTACAGGCCAACAAAGGCAAACTTGTTCTCATATTGATAAAGATGGATTTTCAACAATATCCTCTGGTAATGGACTATCAGGAAGGAGTCATGATGGACTGAAAGAACCAAAAACAGAGTTGGGATACAAGCCAAACTTTGCATCTTCTAAATTTTTACAGGCAGATACCACGGTAGTAAATGATAATAAAAGCAATTTTGAGAATCAGTACCTCATTATCCAAGAAGCTTGTGATGAAACAAGTATGTTTGCTTATTCATTTGTTGATCAAGTGTTGAATGAGTTGGCAAGGTTAGACAGATTAGAGATGCCTAAGGATCACATGTCAAGTCTCCAAGCTGATGCTTTGGGCCTCGAAAATTCCAAAGGTAGAAACAATTATCTGCTTTCCAGTTTATGGTAGGGTAAATTAGTAGACTATAATTATCTGTTTTCCAGTTTCCAAGGGCTAAAGATGCAACTTGATGGTTCCCCGTGAGCATATACATACGACACTTTTCCCAAAATGTTAAAAAAAAAATTTCTGAATTCAACCTTCTTCTGCAAGAACCTTTCTATTTGTTATTTTCTGTAGTGTACTAATAATATTCCTGGACCAGCAGTGATTTATTTATACTCTGCTTCAAATTTGTTTTACCTCTATGCCTATATATAATTTTCTTTTATTAACCAGAGTAAAAGTGGTTACAAATTTTTTTCATGTCCAGGTCCAACAAGGAGGCAGACTTTTGGCGAAGATGGTGTAGGGTCAGTTATGATCAATGTACTTGAAGTTCTAATGCCTTCATTTCCTAGCAGGTACCTTTTGTGCTAGTTCAGTACTCTCCACTTCCTTTTTTTAATCTTTTACTTGAAACTTCTATTTTGTGTGAATGGGTTGAGGAATTATGAAAACTTGGAGATTGTAAAACAAGCAATTGATTTCCATTTAATATGTATAACTTTCTAGTTACCTAATGAAGTGTTTATCATTGTCTTAAACAACAAAACAAATTCATTGAATGTAAATTGATTATTACATGATTAAGGGTTTTGTTGCTCCTGTGGAATTCTTTCCACTTAGGTTTGTGATTATAAATTTAACAGGATTTTGGCAAATGTACCATATCACATGCACATTCTATTGATTTGTCATAGGCTAAGATTGTGTTTTGCTTCTTTATACAGAGAGAAAGAGGAACTGAAAGTGCTGATGGGCATATAGAGACCAATTAGAAGCATAATTATTGTGGAAGTTGGTAAACATCAGAAACCCTTCAACGGGCTATCTTTGACACGATATATTAAAGTTAAATCTGGGTTGGACTGTTGGTTGCTGTTAGCCAAAGCAATCCAAGGAAAATTCTTGCATAGAGCCTGGCTCGATCTGAGCACTGCAATCACCTTAAATCAAGCATCTTTTTGGCGAAAACAAAAATTTGGCTACCCCTCATTCAAGTGCTGCACCGGAGTAAAGGTTCTGGGAGTTTTCTGTTTTATATTTGGTGAAAGTGCTTCAGGCTTCAGCAGATAAACATAGAAGCAAGAGGTAAGTTGTGTGGGTTTTGTTTGTAATAGGTTCATGAATACTTTTATTTCTCCATGCATCATTCCTGATGGACCTAACTGCTCTAGCCATTCTGCAGAACCACTGAAGCAGTGGGGACTAGTTAACATTTCCTTGGTGAGCATGTCTGATACTGACTGGAGAAAGAATTGAACAGAAGACCAGTTTGCACTCAGGATAGAAATGCTGCTGGTACCTTATTCTCCCTACTGCTCATAGATTAAACATTTTTTGGAAAACAATTCTTCTATTTGGGGACTGCAATGTAGTCTGCTATTAGAAATATGGTCAGAGGACCATTCATGATAACATCTGGTTTTAGCTGCCTACTTCTCAAAAGTGGGGATGGCAGTCTAGATTGCTAAGTATACTCCGGAGTTGCTAGCGGTTAAGTGGTAACCTAACCTCACCTCACCTCACCGGTTGCCAGTGAAGGTTTCTCAAATCCGGTGTAAGTTGGCTATTTATTCAGGCGGTCTCTTCTTTTTGGACAATGTTAGTCTCTCGTTTGTTTGATTTTGTTTCGATTTTTTTTGAGGTTTGTATGTGTAGTTGTTCTTGGGTATTCAATAATTTTTTTTGAATTTTTTTACCTTTACTCCAAATTATACCATGGACCAGGGTCTACCTTGCATTGTAGACCCTGATCCAAAAATAAGAGATTTGGTGATGACTAAACATGAAACAATTTATTCTGATTATAAATAAAGCAATTTTATTATGATTATAAATAAAGGTCGATGGTTTCTCTCTATATTTTTCCTATTCTTTCTATTTTATTACATATTGTAGTATTTATATGAGTGTATTTACCCTTGCATGCATCCATAATTAAATTATATCTTAAATGGTTCTATCTAGAATTATTTTTAATTTATCCGCACGAGTTTAGCTCAATGGTTCAGTATGCAGTAATCGAAGCGACGGGGTGTCGCCGATGGAAAATTAGAACGACGGAGTGTCGCCGATGAAAAATGAAAGCAGTGATGAGTCGGAAAATGAAAGCTGTGATGAGTTGTGATGGAAGAGCGTTGATTTGACAATGAGTTTACTTTATTCAATGTCCAATATGAAATTAAGCTAAGGTTGATAAGTATATGAATGTCTGATCTATATATTGTAATAATATTTTGATATTGCTTATACTTTCTACTCCATCTATCCCATTTTATATGTTTTATTTTCTTTTTTTCATCCATCCCAAAATATTGTCCACATTTCTAAAATGAACAATACTATCTTTCTATTTTTTTCAAAATACCCTAGGATTTGTTAATTTTAATATAATCCTACTTTTAAATTTTTTAGAGAAATGTGCCTAGTCAAATTAACCACACTCCTTTCTAAGAAGCAACACGATCGTCGCACGGGATGAGGCCGCACGATTGTTGCACGTTGCACGATGGAAGACCAACACAACAGAAAATCGGAGCTACAGAGAGTTGCCAATGGAAAATGGGAGCTCATAGAGTTGCTGAGTGAAAATCAAAGCGAGGGGGAGTTGCTAATGGAAAATCAAAGCGACAGGGTGTCGTTGATGGAAAATCAAAGCGTCAGAGTGTCGCCGATGGAAAATGAAAGCAGTGATTGAAGAGCGTTGATTTAATGGAGTTTGAAGCAAATAAACATCTGGCGGTGGGTTGACGGCATATTCTCGTCGAGGAGAGAGCGATAGACAAGTAAGGTATGAAATTAAGGAAAAAGGCTTAAAATAGAAAGTGAGATACCTAAATAGGTAGAGTCTTAGGGTTTCGGGTGATAATGAGGATATGGGTCATACAAACAATAGTCGAATTTGGAAAAAAATCTTTTATTGGTGTAGTTGATTAATCAATTTTTTTTTGTGGACCATAAAAAAAGTTACATTTTTAATATATTAAAAGTACATAATTTGTGTATTGAATGTATATTATACAAAATATTAATGTACTTTCAATACTCAAATAATGTATTTTCTCTGAATAGAGGATACATTTTTAATATATTAAAAGTACATTATTTGTGTACTAAGTGTACATTATTTGATAATATACAAAATAATGTACTTTCGGTACTCAAATAATGTACTTTCAAATAATGTACTTTATGTACACAAATAATGTACTTTTTATTTATGTTGCACACAACAATGTGAATTATTGTCCACACAATAATGATTGATAATTTGATATATATCATTGGCCCAATAATTAATTTCACCATTTAAGGTGTCAAAGTGGAAGCCAAATGTTTAATGCAATCAAAATATCCAAATCCTTAGCTTTCCGATAACATTGACACATTTGAGCATATCTCTATCATATGTAGGGATGTCAATTGGTCAATCATTATTGTGTGTAACATGGTCAACACAAGTTGTGTGTACCATATTTTGTCTACTGTAAAATAATGTACATTCGGTACAAAAAAATAATGTACATTATTCAGGGGATGTACATTATTTTTATATAATTTACATTCAGTACAAAAATAATGTACATTTAGTATATTAAAAATGTACTTTTTGTTATAGTTCATATAACATTGTGTGGACCATGGTCTAAACAATAATTTGCCTCAATTGGTCTAGCCCTATCGATTTTAGGCCAATCCTGTTAAGCTATTGGGCTCATTTTTATCGGGTTAAAATATTGTGACTAACTCTAAACCATTGGGTTATTGGGCTTACCATGTGGAATCAACTAAAATTTTTAATTTCACATTTTAAACTTTTAATTTTAATAAATAACAATTTTACAATAACAAATATAATGTTGTAAGTTTGTTTTGTAGAGAATAGTAATAACAGGAAGAAGATACTAAAGAAGAAGAAAATGATCTCTTATTCATCATCTCATTCTGTACATCATTACAACAATATATATAACAGTTATTATAAGATCATACCATAAATATAAAGCCGTTACTAATTATATCATTAATGCAGAATAATGTCCATAATTAGATTTTACAACACTCCCCTTTGGACATTATTTTGCCATAATCTTGCCTCATTAAAAAACTTGCCAGGAAAACCCTGTGGGAAAAAACCTAGACAAGAAAAGAGTGCAAGATTTATAGGTAAATATATTCATGCCTCGTTAAAAATTTCAATAGAAAACCACGTGGGAAAAACCTAGTTGAAGAAAAGAGTACATGATATTTGAAACTCATATATTCTATTGAATTGGTTGCCTCATTAAAAACCTTAACTTAAGAAAACCCTGTGGGAAAAACTTAAGGAAAAAGAGTACAACCATAAGCCTTCAGAGCACAATCTGCATAATCTTCAAGATTTTGGGGTTTGTCCACTTAAGTATTTATTTTGCAACTTTTTCCATTTACATTACTATATCATACTCATGCCTCGTTAAAAACCTCACTACAAAACCCAGTGGGAAAAAACTAGTTGAGGAAAAGAGTGCATGATGCATGTGTATTCTTGTTTTAGATTAGCTGCCTCATTAAAACCTTAGATTTAAGGAAAAATCCCATGGGAAAAAAACTTAACTAAGAAAAATATTACAGCTGTTGGTCTTTAAGACCCAATCTTCAGAATTTATTCATGGAAAATGATACTCCTTCTCAAGATAACAATCTTTAAGTTCCCTACATAAAATTTCCAAAAATGTATAGGGGAATTTTGTAAATACACATGTACAACTGTCAATGGAATGAATATACTATATAATAATCTCGTGACTCTTCTGGAGTTCACGTGGTATAATATTGACATCATAATATCTCGTGACCCTTTATGGGACAATTTGGGTAAGTGTAGTACAACCCGTTTTGGAACTAGGCATTATGGGGATACAAAAATAATAGCAAGTACCCAAGTAGCCCATTGTATATTGGCTTGTCTAAGTATCCAAACAAAATCATATATTGGCTAACCGGTGTATTAAAATTCTTCAAGGAAAAACCCGATCTTCAAGTCGAGATAATACATAGCTTTCCCAAGCCTTTTATTAAAAAAATCTCCGTCATTAAACATGAGCTGATATCATCAAGCTCTTTAGATATTTCATTGATGTTTACACTATCAATATTGACTGAGATAATAAATAATAAATAAGTTCATTATCAACCCTTTATCGAGCACATAATGGTACATATTATTCCTTCTTAATGAGGATAATAACTCCATTCGCGACTCTTTAAGAGTACGTAATGACACATAAATACATATTCCTCATTCGTCAGAAAAAAAAATACTCAGTCAATTCTTAATTATTTCAGGTCAAATAAAGACCTTAATATTTTAATGTTGCGATTTTCACTTTTTCTCATTTTGAGACTTAAAATCCTTCAGGGACTTTTGAAATTAATATTGTTTTGTAGAGAACAGTAATAACAGGAAGAAGATACTAAAGAAGAAGAAAAGTATCTCTTATTCATCATCTCATTCATTACAGCGATATATATAACAGCTATTACAAGATCATACCATAAATATAAAGCCGTTACTAATCATATTATTAATGCCAGAATAATATCCATAATTAGATTTTACAACATATAAATATATGAATCATTTAATCCATCCAAACCTCTATCTCTAAATTGCAACTAAAAAGATTTAATATATTTACAATTATAATATAATAATTATAATAATATTTATTTTTTGTTACATATTTTTATAAAAATAATTTATTTTGTAATAAATTTGTTAATATATTTATTAAAATTTAATTAAAAAGTACTAAAACTAAATTTACATACAAGGTCACAGTGGGCTAGCCCATCGATTTCGGTTAACTCAACTCTGTATTATAGTTGATTTTACACAGAAACCCATGAATTTACATACAAATTGATGATTGTTATTATAGTTAATAGTTAATTTTATTTTATCTATGATTAATCGATAATTGCATCGAATAAAATACAGGTAATCTCATTTTATTATTATTTTTTTTACAATGTAGTATCTGCTCATATACGACGCCAACGCCTCCATTGAAACTTGAACTCACAACCTTCCAAATGAAAATTCAATTCAGGTACCATTAGATCACATAGTCTTGATAAGGTAATCTCATGTTAAATGCATACAAACAGTCACGTGAATAGATGCAACTACAAATTAAACATCCAATATTTATTTATTTATAAATACATGATGGGAATCTCATGTTTTTTCATATGTGAATGGAACCTTAGATTTTCCTATGTATGTAGATGAACTTTTTCATAAACACATGGGATTAATGATGACTATTGATGTTTTATTTTATACGGTTTAAATTTTTTTCATGTGTAAATTAAAGGTGTTCTCTTAGGGGAGCGTTATGCCATGGAAGGTTCCAACGGTGTTAGTACCCTGTTATCTTTTTTTTTTTTTTTTTCTTAATTAATTGCGTGACTTTTCTTCATTTTCACATTTTGCGGTTTCACTTTAATTTGAGGTGAACAATGATTTCGGACATTCATAAATTATGAATTCTTGCCTGCACATTCACTTTGGAACCATGTCTACACATTCCCGTCCGAAATCACGGACATTCATAAATTATGAATCCATGCATGCACATTCACTTTGGAACCATGCCTACACATTCACTTTGGAACCATGAGATTATGAATTTTCTGTTATGAGATTATGAATTTTCTGTTATGAAATTATGAATTTTCTGTTATGCGATTATGAATTTTCTATAATGAGATTATGAATTTTATGAAAATTCATAATCTCATAACAGAAAATTCATAATTTGATCAACGCGCGACGTTAACTCCACATTCGCGATTTTTTTTTTTTTTTTTTTTTTTTTTTTTTTTTTTTTTTTTGCCTAAAAACGACGTCGTTTGGCCTTGTGTTCACCATTCTCGATGAACACGTTTCCAGGGCATAATTTGCCCTCTTAGGAGCATGTTCATATATTGCAGAGTTGCATAGTCGTCGTGCATAATTGAACAATTGGCGAAATCTAATTAATTGATTTTAAGTATTTAATGGCCCATATCTGTTTACAGAGACTCATGAGAAGTGGTGGACTAATATGAACAATGGCATATATATATATGAACAATATTTATTTATTTATAAATAAATGATGGGAATCTCATATTTTTTCATATGTGAATGGAGCCTTAGATTTTCCTATGTATGTAGATGAACTTTTTCATAAACACATGGGATTAATGATGACTATTGATGTTTTATTTTATACGGTTTAAATTTTTTTCATGTGTAAATTAAAGGTGTTCTCTTAGAAGCATGCTCATATATTGCACAGTTGCATAGTCGTCGTGCATATTTTAACAGTTGGCAAAATCTAAGTAATTGATTTAATCTAAGTAATTGATTTTAAGTATTTAATGACCCATATCTGTTTACACAGACACATGGGAAGTGATGGACTTGTAATATTGATAAAACTAACTTTTTGTGTTGTGAAAATGAACATCCAATATTTTGTTAGTGACAATGAACCAAATCGATTTAATATTTCAAAAATAATATATATATATACACACGAAAATATATAAAATATTATTGGATATATATCCGAAATATATATATACACAAATATATATAAAACGGACCCAAAGGTTATATATACATATATATCTACGAAAAAGATATACAATATATACCAACCAAAAATTGGAACTTATAATCCTCAGATTATAATTCAAATCCAACGACTATATCAAAAAGAGAGAGGATTTTTGCTTAGAAGCATAATCCAAAACCAAAAGAAGAAGAAGATGGCTCGTGTTTAGTATAGAGTTTTTAACACGAGTCAAGTGAGACACTCAGTTTTCCTTAAAACCTTATTTGTCACCTCCCAAAAGTGCTAGGAGCGTTGTGGCCTAGGTTTCCCAGGATAAAACGTGCTATGGTTCGACGTTTGAGCACCCAAACGAACGAACCCGGCGAACTAGAGCAAAGCCTTGAACACAGTTAGGCAAAGAAAGGAGTAGGACCAGAGTTTTGAGGAGAGGAAAACACTTCCTGTGTTGTGTGTTCTTGTCACTGTGTTCCTTAGAAAATCTGCTGCCCTCTAACCCTTCTTATATAGGGATGATGGAGTTAAATAGCATTTAACTTGGCTATTATACCAGCCTTTGTAACACCTGAAACGACAAGGCCATTACTTGGGATTTAAATTCAAAATTGAAATTGGAATTAATTTTCCGTAACTGAGGAATTTAATCCCACATTTGTCTGTTGAGGAATTAGTCTCACAGTTGTCTCACATTTGTCTGTTGGCCTCAGTGTTGGAAAAATGACATTTGTCTGTTGGCCTCAGTGTTGGAAAAATGATACCGGAAGCTAGCATCACTTTGACATTCGTGCCCCCATCCCCTGCGCGCGAGAAAGAGCCTCTATATTATACAATTTAATAAATTTAAAAAAGAGCTATTGTATAAATAGTGGGGCAAATCCTCTTCCCAAATCAATGTGGGACAAAAGCTCACTTTTTCCCTTCATTTTTCCAAATCAATGGGTTTGCTTTGAGAATCAATATCTCATTCACCCATTATCCGTTTTGAGCGTACAATATATCAATCTCTTCGTCTCACTACGAAGAACCCGAATCCACTTTGACCCGACCCAAATTGGAAGTGGAACCCAACGATAATTGTACCACAAAATAGCAACTTAAAATGCCATTTTAATGCTATTTTTCCAACAATCCTCCACATGAATGAAAAATTGATTTTCAGGGTATTTTGAAATCGGAAAAAATTGTGTTCAACGGTCGATCCCTGCATAGGATAGGTAGGGATCACTATACCCTTTGAACCTTCCCTTGTGAAGATATGTTTACTCTACTGGATGTGCGGTAGATTGCGATGTCTTTGAACCGACTGCCGTTTGTGTAGACGATGACATATCTCACACAGGAACCTCCCAACCATGCTCTGTTCTCATGAGTGTGCCTATTTTGGTCGTGGGTCACCGTTCCTGGTTCTGCGAGAGTTTCTAAAGAATTGTGTCCATCAATTCTCCTTTGAAGCGACCCTCACTTCTCTCTTACATATGTGATTCTTTCTCGAGTATCCCGCATACTCACATATGTCATCCGACATTCGAATCATTAAAGCATCAACATGCTAGCCTCGTGCGGGAGTCACTGTTTCTAACGAGGAGTGGTAGCGAGTCCGAGACCCCCACAATGACATGCTCAGTTCCATAATTTAGTTTTCCCATTGAACCTCGATGCCAGCTAGGTTGGGTATCCACTATAGAACTTTTAGTCCAAGGGCTTTAGACCCATTCCTCATTCCAACTTCTCCACAACCATTTGCTTACCCTCGGGTTAGCGAGTTAGCGGCCGCTACGTTATCTTTTGACATAACGTAGTTAATAGAGATAACCCCTGTTGTGAGAAATTGTTTAATGCTATTATGTCTATGACTTATAAGTCTAGACTTACCATTCCACATCTAACTCTGTACTTAACCAATTTTGGCTTTGACTATTGCAACGCACACAAATTGGAAGTACGAGTTTACTTCAAGGAACATTCCCGAAAAATGGCATAGCCATTCGGCCTACTCGTTCACACTACCAATTGCACTCAGCTTAGATTTCGTCATGGATCTTAGCTATCACAAATCATTTCGAGAATTTCCACACCACCAATTGCACTGGCCTACGTATACACGTAACCTTTAATGGACTTAGCGTCCTTTGATATTCCGTTAATCTGCTATACTTTTCAAGTACAGCTAGATATCCCACATAGTGTAGTCCAAAGTCACGAGTATACCTTAAGTATCTCATAACTCTCACTATTGCCTTCTAGTGCGTAACACTAGGGTTACTTGTATGTCTACCGAGTTCGTTAATCGCAAAGGCAATATCCGACTTAGTACAACCCATTTGATACAATTAAACTACCAATACTCTGTATGTATTCTCCGTGAGAAACACAATCTCCGTGATTATCGGCTAGTTGTACATTAGTATCTGACGGTGTCCAAACCACTTGATTATCATCCTTTACAAGGATTCAATCAACACAATGAGATTGGCTTACTGCGAAACCATACGGTTTTCTCACGATTTTAATCTCGAAGATTAAATCTTCCAAAATCACACGTCTCATGTCAAACTCAAATTTAACATGTTCCTGATAGAATTGATCCTGTGATCGTTACTTCCCACTTTGAGTTCATCGTGTATAGACAAATAGTGATAATCTCGTCTATCGTACGCATTGCGTAGACACTTGTCACCTTTGTTTACACTAAACTCGTTACTCATCATTGTATGATCAAACCTACAGTCAAATACTAAGGCAATTGTTTCGAACCATACAATGATCTCACCAATCTACACTTTCCTTATATAGCACAGACCGCAAAACCCTCAGGTCGTTCCATGTCTATTAAGAAAGTGATACATCCATTTTGATGAGCTTCCAAGTCTCGCTAAACGGCTGTGGCAAGTATCATACTAATGGATTTCATTCTCATCACAAGAGAATATATATCGAAGTAACTGTGGCACTTGCGTTGCATGTAATCTAAAATTACAAGCCCGTCCATTTTACTTCAATATAACCAACCAGTTTTATCTTCCGATACGTGATCCATTAGGATCAAAAGGTTTTACAACCCGGAGGAAGAACAACCGGTTCCAAGTATGATTCTCTAAGATAGAATCTACTTCACCTCGGTAGCCTCTCTCGGGTTGGTCCATCTGTAAAAGTCACCACTTCTATATACGTTCGAGGCTCATTTTCTAATAACCATGTCAGAAAATCCGGTTCATTTTCTAGTAAACAAGTTAGAATATGCGTATCACATTCTATTATGTTTGTTAGAAATCTGGACCAAAGGATTGTTCCAATCCTAGCTCTCTTGCTCCGTCTAGCTTTGAGCTCGGGTTCTCTTTCATAACCTTCAACCATAGCTACGCCGAAAGTTCCTTTCAACGTGCTAGGTCCTTTATTGAACCTTCACAGAAATACATTCTCAAAGAGCAATGAATTTCTTGATTCAATTTATCGTGTTCTTATGTACATCCAAAATATAGGACTCGTGTACTAAGAACCAAAACGCCTTTGGCAAGACACCCCCACATTTCAGGCATTAGTAGGAAACTTCCTACGTACCCACAACCCAAAAGAAGCCTTATCGAGATTCATGCGGGTAACCTTATTTAAAAGGTACTTACTTGTCCAAAGTATTGTCTCACCCCACATACTTTGAGGTAGACCCAAACTTATCAAGGTCTTGATATTTTATGTTCGGCAATAACGTTCGACTGAGGTGAATACCGTGTCGTACGCTCGAGTACGATACCAATGCTTGCGCAAAAATCACCAATAGGTGTTTCATGTTCACCACATCGATCATTTGTAATCGCATTAATCCATGATTAATTTGTTTTTTCTATTTATTCTTATAAGGAATAAACATGCGTTACACGTTAACACATCTCGTGGGTGCTAACAGATTAGCCCTTACAAATCCATTCGGAATTTGACCGAAAGGCCAAGACCACGAATCAATGCTTTCGAAGTTGAAGCACGAATCAGTGCTTAGGAATGAGCACGAATCATTGCTACCAAACTAACGCACCGATTCCAAAGCAATATTCTATTGCTTTAAATTATAAACTCACAACAACACATAGTTGCTTATTTTATAATTCCAATGCTTATTAGCTAATTCCATTGCTGTAGTTACATAAAAAATAATATGGAAATTCATTTTTCTTACAAGATATAATAAACAGAATTAATGCATTAGTAATCAAGTCTAAACGCCCGGTGCTTCAGCCCTGGACCACAAGGTTAATAGCCTTGCGCTCTACCGACTGAGCTAGACGGGCAACGAACGATGATTATCAATTTTCTTATAAATATTTGGTGCATTCGTAATATTGATAAAACTAACTTTTTGTATTGTGAGAATGAACATCCAATATTCCCTTATTGTAGATACGTTAAAAAACTGGAAATACTTTTTCTTAAAAAATAAAGCAATCAATTAAATGTTTATTGGGGAAATCTTTCATAATAATTAATTATTGATGCATCTCAAGTCTAAACGCCCACCTTGGGACTTGAACCCAAGATCACAAGGTTAAGAGCCTTGCGCTCTATCCACTAAGCTATACGGGCTGCGAATAATGATAATCAATTTTCTTATAACTATTTGGTGCGCTTGTAATATTGATAAAACTAACTTTTTGTATTGTGAGAATGAACATCCAATATTCACTTATTGTAGATACGTTAAAAAACTTGAAATACTTTTTCTTAAAATATATTGCAATCAATTAAATGTTTATTAGGGAAATCTTTCATAATACTTTTTCTTAAAAAATATTGCAATCAATTAAATGTTTATTGGGGAAATCTTTCATAATTAATTATTGATGCATCTCAAGTCTAAACGCCCACCCTGGGACTTGAACCCAGGACCACAAGGTTAAGAGCCTTGCGCTCTACCGACTGAGCTAGACGGGCAACAAACAATAAAAGTCAATTTTCCTATAATTATTTGACAGACTTGTAATATTGACAAAACTAACTTTTAGTTTTGTGACAATAAACATCCAATATTCAATTGCTGTAGTTACATAAAAAATAATATGGAAATTCATTTTTCTCACAAGATATAACAATCAGAATTAACGCATTAGAAATCAAGTCTAAACGCCCACCCTGGGGCTTCAGCCCAGGACCACAAGGTTAAGAGCCTTGCGCTCTACGGACTGAGCTAGACGGGCAATGAACGATGATTATCAATTTTCTTATAACTATTTGGTGCGCTTGTAATATTGATGAAACTAACTTTTTGTATTGTGAGAATGAACATCCAATATTCCCTTATTGTAGATACGTTAAAAAACTGGAAATACTTTTTCTTAAAAAATATAGCAATCAACTAAATGTTTATTGGGGAAATCTTTCATAATAAATTATTGATGCATCTCAGGTGTTTATTGGGGAAATCTTTCATAATAAATTATTGATGCATCTCAGGTCTAAACGCCCACCCTGGGACTTGAACCCAGGACCACAAGGTTAAGATCCTTGCGCTCTACCGACTGAGCTAGACGGGCAACAAACAATAAAAGTCAATTTTCCTATAATTATTTGACAGACTTGTAATATTGATAAAACTAACTTTTTGTTTTGTGACAAAAAACATCCAATATTCCATTGCTGTAGTTACATAAAAAATAATATGGAAATTCATTTTTCTTACAAGATATAACAATCAGAATTAAAACATTAGAAATCAAGTCTAAACGCCCACCCTGGGGCTTCAGCCTAGGACCACAAGGCTAAGAGCCTTGCGCTCTACGGACTGAGCTAGACGGGCAACGAACGATGATTATCAATTTTCTTATAACTATTTGGTGCGCTTGCAATATTGATAAAACTAACTTTTTGTATTGTGAGAATGAACATCCAATATTCCCTTATTGTAGATACATTAAAAAATTGGAAATACTTTTTCTTAAAAAATATAGCAATCAATTAAATGTTTATTAGGGAAATCTTTCATAACAATTAATTATTAATGCATCTCAAGTTTAAGCGACCACCATGGGACTTGAACCCAGGATCACAAGGTTAAGAGCCTTGCGCTCTATCCACTAAGCTATACGGGCTACGAATAATGATAATCAATTTTCTTATAACTATTTGGTGCGCTTGTAATATTGATAAAACTAACTTTTTGTATTGTGAGAATGAACATCCAATATTCACTCATTGTAGATACGTTAAAAAACTTGAAATACTTTTTCTTAAAAAATATTGCAATCAATTAAATGTTTATTGGGGAAATCTTTCATAATTAATTATTGATGCAACTCAAGTCTAAACGCCCACCCTGGGACTTGAACCCAGGACCACAAGGTTAAGAGCCTTGCGCTCTACCGACTGAGCTAGACGGGCAAGAAATAATAAAAGTCAATTTTCCTATAATTATTTGACAGACTTGTAATATTGACAAAACTAACTTTTAGTTTTGTGACAATAAACATCCAATATTCAATTGCTGTAGTTACATAAAAAATAATATGGAAATTCATTTTTCTCACAAGATATAACAATCAGAATTAACGCATTAGAAATCAAGTCTAAACGCCCACCCTGGGGCTTCAGCCCAGGACCACAAGGTTAAGAGCCTTGCGCTCTACGGACTGAGCTAGACGGGCAACGAACGATGATTATCAATTTTCTTATAACTATTTGGTGCGCTTGTAATATTGATGAAACTAACTTTTTGTATTGTGAGAATGAACATCCAATATTCCCTTATTGTAGATACGTTAAAAAATTGGAAATACTTTTTCTTAAAAAATATAGCAATCAATTAAATGTTTATTGGGGAAATCTTAATTATTGATGCATCTCAAGTCTAAACGCCCACCCTGGGACTTCAACCCAGGACCTCAAGGTTAAGAGCCTTGCGCTCTACCGACTGAGCTAGACGGGCAACAAACAATAAATGTCAATTTTCCTATAATTATTTGACAGACTTGTAATATTGATAAAATTAACTTCTTGTTTTGTGACAATAAACATCCAATATTCCATTGCTGTAGTTACATAAAAAATAATATGGAAATTCATTTTTCTTACAAGATATAATAAACAGAATTAATGCATTAGTAATCAAGTCTAAACGCCCGGTGCTTCAGCCCTGGACCACAAGGTTAATAGCCTTGCGCTCTACCGACTGAGCTAGACGGGCAACGAACGATGATTATCAATTTTCTTATAAATATTTGGTGCATTCGTAATATTGATAAAACTAACTTTTTGTATTGTGAGAATGAACATCCAATATTCCCTTATTGTAGATACATTAAAAAATTAGAAATACTTTTTCTTAAAAAATATAGCAATCAATTAAATGTTTATTGGGGAAATCTTTCATAATAATTAATTATTGATGCATCTCAAGACTAAACACCCTCCTTGGGACTTGAACCCAGCATCACAAGTTTAAGAGCCTTGCGCTCTATCCACTAAGCTAGACGGGCTACAAATAATGATAATCAATTTTCTTATAACTATTTGGTGCGCTTGTAATATTGATAAAACTAACTTTTTGTATTGTGAGAATGAAAATCCAATATTCACTTATTGTAGATACGTTAAAAAACAGGAAATACTTTTTCTTAAAAAATATAGCAATCAATTAAATGTTTATTGGGGAAATCTTTCATAATTAATTATTGATGCATCTCAAGTCTAAACGCCCACCCTGGGACTTGAACCCAGGACCACAAGGTTAAGAGCCTTGCGCTCTACCGACTGAGCTAGACGGGCAACAATCAATAAAAGTCAATTTTCCTATAATTATTTGACAGACTTGTAATATTGATAAAACTAACTTTTTGTTTTGTGACAATAAACATCCAATATTCCATTGCTGTAGTTACATAAAAAATAATATGGAAATTCATTTTTCTTACAAGATATAACAATCAGAATTAACGCATTAGAAATCAAGTCTAAACGCCCACCCTGGGGCTTCAGCCCAGGACCACAAGGCTAAGAGCCTTGCGCTCTACGGGCTGAGCTAGACGGGCAACGAACGATGAAAATCAATTTTCTTATAACTATTTGGTGCGCTTGTAATATTGATGAAACTAACTTTTTGTATTGTGAGAATGAACATCCAATATTCCCTTATTGTAGATACGTTAAAAAACTGGAAATACTTTTTCTTAAAAAATATAGAAATCAATTAAATGTTTATTGGGGAAATCTTTCATAATTAATTATTGATGCATCTCAAGTCTCAACGCCCACCCTGGGACTTGAACCCAGGACCACAAGGTTAAGAGCCTTGCGCTCTACCGACTGAGCTAGACGGGCAACAATCAATAAAAGTCAATTTTCCTATAATTATTTGACAGACTTGTAATATTGATAAAACTAACTTTTTGTTTTGTGACAAAAAACATCCAATATTCCATTGCTGTAGTTACATAAAAAATAATATGGAAATTCATTTTTCTTACAAGATATAACAATCAGAATTAACGCATAAGAAATCAAGTCTAAACGCCCACCCTGGGGCTTCAGCCCAGGACCACAAGGCTAAGAGCCTTGCGCTCTACGGGCTGAGCTAGACGGGCAACGAACGATGAAAATCAATTTTCTTATAACTATTTGGTGCGCTTGTAATATTGATGAAACTAACTTTTTGTATTGTGAGAATGAACATCCAATATTCCCTTATTGTAGATACGTAAAAAACTGGAAATACTTTTTCTTAAAAAATATAGCAATCAACTAAATGTTTATTAGGGAAATCTTTCATAATTAATTATTGATGCATCTCAAGTCTAAACGCCCACCCTGGGACTTGAACCCAGGACCACAAGGTTAAGAGCCTTGCGCTCTACCGACTGAGCTAGATGGGCAACAAACAGTAAATGTCAATTTTCCTATAATTATTTGACAGACTTGTAATATTGATAAAACTAACTTTTTGTTTAGTGACAATAAACATCCAATATTCCATTGCTGTAGTTACATAAAAAATAATATGGAAATTCATTTTTCTTACAAGATATAACAATCAGAATTAACGCATTAGAAATCAAGTCTAAACGCCCAGACTGGGGCTTCAGCCCAGGACCACAAGGCTAAGAGCCTTGCGCTCTACGGACTGAGCTAGACGGGCAACGAACGATGATTATCAATTTTCTTATAACTATTTGGTGCGCTTGTAATATTGATAAAACTAACTTTTTGTATTGTGAGAATGAACATCCAATATTCCCTTATTGTAGATACGTTAAAAAACTGGAAATACTTTTTCTTAAAAAATATAGAAATCAATTAAATGTTTATTGGGGAAATCTTTCATAATTAATTATTGATGCATCTCAAGTCTCAACGCCCACCCTGGGACTTGAACCCAGGACCACAAGGTTAAGAGCCTTGCGCTCTACCGACTGAGCTAGACGGGCAACAAACAATAAAAGTCAATTTTCCTATAATTATTTGACAGACTTGTAATATTGATAAAACTAACTTTTTGTTTTGTGACAATAAACATCCAATATTCCATTGCTGTAGTTACATAAAAAATAATATGGAAATTCATTTTTCTTACATGATATAACAATCAGAATTAACGC